GTGCCTTTCGGGGCCCGGGTAGAGCTTGGATGACTGTTTCAAGAAGTGAGACAGGGTTTATGCGACATTTTGCAACGCGTCCACATCAGCGCACTTCGAAAAGGCCAAGCATCTTGAGATCTTGGCGCATGTGTATGGGACCTTTCACTTAGAAGACCGACAAGTAGTTTCACTACAGGAAAGAAATCCTCGAAGACTCCCACGGGTGATATCTGGAGGCCCAAATATGGCGGTAGAGATACTTGAACGACACCAAACTGGCAGCAGCATGAGCAGTACACAGTCTTGGCAGCTCTTGACATACAACCCCCTACCCCGATCCGTATGCACATCTCTTCCCGAAACAACCACCGCCGCGAAATCCTACCCTAAACACAAAAGCGTCAGAACTCAGATCTAATGCCATCAGCAATATAGCAGATCTCACCTCCAACAACCCCAACAAGCAAGACATGTTGAGTACATGTCTGCTTGTGGATGAAGATGCTTTACCCGCACAAGCGTCATACAGCCGTGTACAAACCTCACAGGGCGCTCGTACTCCCAAAGCTTCCAAAGTCTTGATGCAAGGTGCGGCCAATGATGCAGACATGGTCATGGAAGATGCTCGACGTCTGGCCAAAGATTATACTCACAAGCTTGAAGAGTTTCCTGGCATCATACCTTAGTTATGTCCCGAATTAGGTCCTCTGTTTATCCGTCGGATGTTGGGGTTCTACTTCGGGACCTCCCAAGATGGCAATTTCAAGCAGCCCCTGCCATGGGTCCCACCTCGCAGACATTAGGAGTTTGCGTGGTTGCTGACGGTACCAAAGAGGATTTCCTCTGTACTGTAGCTCTGATCAGACACACATTATTTCGGTCATGAGAACGTTCCAAACAGCATGGTATTACTTGGGATTAGGGCCTAAATAGCAACCATTGAGTTTCCACGCCTCTCACGAATCCATCTGGCTGGTTCTTTGATACTCCTTATTGGGCGGAGTTCTTGACATCAGGACCTAAGACTAAACCTAAGCTACAGCAGTTCTACGTGTGGGGGGATGGGCGTGGTCAAGCAGCATCTCCATCACTCAGAATCGCCCCAGTCAACTGTGCTGCTGTAACTGCTGGAGCAGCAGACGGCCTGATAGCCCTTCGCTGCTTCCCATTGCATGGTAGTTTGCAAACATGGGCATAGATTGCGCTGCTGAAGCTCTATTGGTCAGGTACCCTCAACACACTCAGGTCGTCCCATGGCGGGAGCGCTAGCAGCAAGAAATATGCTTCATGGCAATAATTTTTAACGGCATGGCCACTGCGTCTGCGGCACACATGCCGAAATCCTCTCTTCTTGATGCGGATGACGATGACGGTGAGGGGAAGAGTTGGTGTTGCTGCGCTTGCGCTGCAATCCGGTTTGTCCTATTCTGGTTGCTGTACAGTTCGCATCATGACGGCCGTGATTCGCAACTTGGTGCTTGTGCTTCCAGCTGCTCTCTTAGCCATCCTTACCATGCTTCTTACCTTACCATCTTCTTTGTCTCCCTCCTGCTTTTGCAGCTGCTGCCGCCGCTACTGCTGATGCTGCTACTGCTGACGCCGCTGCTGCTGCCCTTGCAAACTGAGGCTTTTCCGCTTGGCAGATGACGATGGAGATGGCAACCTCTCGCGGGACGAGTTTAATGAAACTATGAGCCTCCCCAGTGCTTCGCCAGTTTGGGGAGCGGGTTCGGGGTTTTAGTTCTGCTTGTTGCATCATAGTATAGTAATGCTCGGAATAGCCGCGAAAAGGGCAAGCGTGTTTGTGTAGTCATCCGCACTGTGCAAGTCAAGCCCAAAATTTGCGGAGCATAAAGATCGCTGTGCTCTTGCTACACCGGGAGGCTTTTAGAGTTCCGATGGCGTTCAGAATTGTCAGATCGCGCCTTTGGGGTGGGGGGGGGGGGTCGGAAGGTTTAGGTATTCATGTTCTGGATACTTTGGGCTATGACCTTCCCACGTACAGCGGGAACTTGTTTTGCATCCTTTCTAGCTCAGACTCGTAGATTCTACATAATTTACTTTGGAATCCAGTAGAGGGTCTTGATGAGCTTGATTGTGGGTAGACAATTTTGGGTAGACAGCTGAGGTGTGCAACATTATCTGAGGACCTCAGACATGATCTTCAGAAATATTTTCGCTGCTTTGATCCCTAGAGTTATGTTGGATTTCTCCAATGCTTGAATCCCGAGCCGCACCCATATTTGAAGAATCCCTAAGCCCTAAACCCCCTGGTAGTGGAGGATGCCTTGCAATCCTGAATCCACTGTGCAGAACTTCATCAAAAGCCCTGGCTGATTTTGTACTTTCTCAAAATTGGGGACCCGCATATATAGACCCCGAAATACTCCAATCCTTATACTTGGGAGCACCGAAAAAAAAGTACACCATGTTTTTGGNNCCCCCCCCCCCCCCGCCCCCCCGCCATTTTGGTGTCAAGGACCTTGGACATGAGTATGCAAGATTGCCGGCCCCTCTTTGATATTCTGGATGATGGTGGCTAGGACGAAAGCCTTTGGCATTCCATCAGTAGGAGGATGAAGTAGCTAATGGTGCCAGAAAAGGAACCGATTAAATGGTTTGAGACAGGGGCGTGTAGGAGTCTGGTGCACTTCACATTGGGAATTGTGTGGGTGTTACACTTGTCTTTGTTCATACCGCTTCAAAATGGTCCCAATACGTGTACGTACGGCACTGGCCACAGTAACCAACTATTGCTAGTAGCTCATGTGAGGGCTCGGACCCTAAAAACCCTACTGGGACGTGTCTCGGGCCTAAGTGAGCTACTGTCAATATTAGGGTCACCAGGGGACCAAGGGTGGACATAGGGGCACGTATAGTCCTTGATGTATTCCGGACCCAGGTCCATGAACTACATAATGGAAGTTTCCCAGAATAGGGGGACCCCCATATGTCCCAAAAGTATTATAACCCTGTTTATAGGCCCCCCAAACAGTACCCCTAATTCTGGAAAACCCTAAACCCTATATATCCCTATATTCCCCCATATAAAGATACCCCTGATTTTGGGAAAGTGCCAAGAATTGACTGTAACTCAGGTGACGGCCTGATTACTATCACAGAGTTCGTCAGGGGCCTCTCGCAAATCAAAGGCCAGGCGCGCGCAGTGGACATTGTAATCCTCCAGCGCGAGAATGCCAAGCTCATGACAGAGTGTCGGAAGATTCGCGTAGAGCTGATAAACATCCAGAAGCTAGGTTGAATTTCGGAGACCAGTATAGGTAACCCATGGTAACCCCAAGAACTTTCATCAATCTTGTGAAACCCATGACTCCATACCAACAGATGTAATTTTAAGTTGTCCTTTGCAACTTAGTGCCTTTGAGGTATGTGGCTGTCCTTTAAAATGCTGAATACGGCAAGCAGTCACCCCACAGTTGAATCCTATACCCTGAAGGCCCCAAAGCCTTCCGCTAACATGGTTTTGAAGGGCACCCTATGTGTTCAAATCCTCGAGCAGCAGCTAAGGAAAGCCTTCCCATCCATGTTGAAGAGGGTGGCTAGCAACATCTCGGCAGAACTTGAAAGGGATTCTTTTGCTGCATAAGCTACAGGACAGTGGTGCCCATCAACAGGCTGTTTGCTCTGCGTGCGGCATGTGAGGGGCTACTATGACAACTAGCTTCTAAGCATTAAGCTTGAGGGCATGTGAGAAACAAATGGGCCACTTTCCTGAGCAATTCAACAGAGCCAATGTTTTGCTGCTCTTCTTGCATAGGTTTCACCAAATGGCTGTGTGCCTTTTTCCACGCTTGCAGGCACGTAGAACAGAGAAATGCGCCCCTTTGGCAATCTTCCACTTGGGATGGTCTGGGATTTGTCTAGCGTGTAGAGCGAGGAGGATATGCAAATGAATGAGGCATCAGGAGGGCGGTTTGACCTACGGGTCAATATTGGGCGGTTGTTTTGCTAATCTCAAACGCTCGTTGCCCGCTTGGCAGCACCCAACGTAAATGCAGACTCACTGAGCCTTGGAGGCTCGGGTTAGTCGCAATGCAGACATGATGGACTCCTTGAACCGAATGACGGGGTTCTGTAAGTACAGAGAACCATTCGTGGGTTAGAGTTCCTTGAGTACCTAAATTCAATCCGAGCTGCATAACACTGCCTCCCCACTAGCAGAAGCGAGTGGCATAAAACCCTTGCAGCGGAATATTGAAGTGGGATGAACGTGATGCACTTGGCTCGGACAGACAGACCTATTTGCGCAGCCTCCCGGAGGGGGTGTTTAGGCCGTACAATTCATGCCGCGGCCCGGGCCATCCGAGAAAACTGAAGCTGGGCCGGTAGAGTTTAGCTTGTCTTGTGTACGTACATGAAGGGGCATATTATTATATAGGCGCATATGGGGTGTAGATATCATCTATGGGGGTTACACAGGGATTGTATAGGGTCTAAGGGATATTCGTCTCGAATAATGGGGGATCAAATGGAGAAGGAAATCGTTGATGAAATGGACATTGGGACTACACGTGGTTTGCGGGGTTCGAGCTTTCGGGAATTGCGCATCGCCTTGTGGGAGTCCCTTTAATTAGGAGATATCGCATATTTAGATAACCTACAAGCTGGGCTTTAGCGACCCCCCTGTCCAGTAGAGAGGCAGGTGTAAGTCATGTGTTGAATTTAGATCTGAGGGGCCAAGGGCCCTGTCTGACTTTGACCCTGACTTTGAAAGACTTGAGACAAACATTTCCTCAGGTGGGTACTTTTCCAAAACTGTTCACCTCTGCTACCTTTGGCAAGTCAAGGGGCTTTGCCCCTGAACTAGAATTTCTGAATGTTACCGATCCCATTCAGCTGCGATACCACCCAAATCCTTGCATTGTCCTTTGATGCGACCAAAATTGATGTAATTGTTGCGCACCCCTGCCCGCAATTGCGAAGTCCTTGATTGCAACCCTTCCTGCACTCTATATGAGCCATAGTCTAAACTCCTAGAGCCCCCTTAATCAGCTAAGCCCTACGACACTCCCGAACATAATCCTCTACAAAACCTCCTTTAAGGAGTTTAGACTACAGCTCATATGGCTTCTTGAAGATGGTAGCTTGCCCCCAGAGATGATTGATGCAGGTTCTGGACTGCAGACCCTCGGCCCTGATCCCTATCATCGCTAGACCCTCTAATTATGATAGCTATATAACTAAAAAATTATGACAAGGCCTCCCCAGAAGACCCTATCACGATTATAGCTGTTATAAGTATTAGAACTGGTAGTACTTGGTATTGTTGTTACTATTATACTCATGATTCTTAGTAGTAGTACCTACATTTTTATAAGTATTACGGCTTGCTGGATCCTGAGACAACTCCTGCAGTCCCAGCCTAAAAAAGCAGATTGTTACCAAGGAATGGGCCGAAGAGCGCCAGTGGATTCTGACTGCCCTCGACCTGAAGCTAGGCCTTTGCTATGGGTTTACTGGGTTGTTGTGAGGAACTTAAGTCAAGCCACTACACTAAACTACAATAAGGAAACCCGATTATGGTAACTTAGTTGAAGCTTGTTTACAGCAACCCAGTTCAGGGTGTTGTTTCTCAACAGGGGGCTTCCGTCACATTACGGACAAGCGGAAGCTGCGTTGAACAAGTTCAAAATCTCAGGAATCGTGAGGCGGCAGGTGCATGGTATCAAGAGACCTTACACAATTTCTGCGAAGCTGCTCATCCCTGGCCCAGATTCCCCTGCCCCGAAAAACCCTTGCATCCGATCAACCGACAAAGATGAACGAAATTTTCCATATTTCAGAAGGTAGCCCAGCAACGTTAGGATGCATCTTTGGCGTTAGACAGAAGGGAGGATTGCGGAAGAAATTGGCGCACCCTAACCCTAATCTCTCTACTGCCGCCCAGGAAGTTTCGGCAACAGGAGGCTCTGATTCGATCTTTGAAGCTTGTCTTCTTGATTTTGAAAAGTTTTGGGATCTACTGTTGGGCGATCCTGGTTGCTTCGTGGGGAAACAGGGATTCTGAATTATGGGCAAACCCTAGGGATCCAAATAGCCCAATGTAGGTAATATTTACAGTACTTGGATCCCTAGGGAAATGCAAGTGGTGTTTCCTTTGAGTCGTTAGGGATCATGAAAGCCTGGCCTCCTCTGAGGCCTAGGACAGTAGGCCTTGAGGGAGCGCGGAAGTGAGAGATGCAAACCCCAAAGGGTTGAGGGTTTAGGGT